GGTACCTTTGTTAAACTCTATTACGCTTGTTATTACCCATCTCTCTAATTTGTTAAGGTCCCTCTTCAGGGCCTCTCTGCGTTCGAGGGAGTCAACAGCTCCTCCAAATTCAGTGTCATCAGCAAACTTAGTATACCTTTGAGTCCTGCATCCAAGTCTTTTGTGAAGATAATGAAGAGCACTGGCCCTAAGAGAGAGCCCTGCGAAACTCCACTAATGACTAGAATAATTCATTGGTGTTGCGGTCCTGGCTGGGTGGCCTATAGTAGACTCCCTTGATGACATCTACTCTATTTGTTTGTCCCTTAATCCTTACCCAGAGGCTGTCAACTGTGCCATAACCAACTGCAAGCTGCATCATGTGAGTCGGCACAGGCAAGCACCCAGAACAACCACAAACTTGTGGCTAGAACACAAAAGATTCAGTTTATTTCCATTACCTATCTAACAACACCCAGGCTGAAGCACACAAGTGGAGACGCGGGCACTGTTAAACTTTGTGCTAGAGGATCACTGGCCTACTGTTCACATAGACTTATCAAGAGTAATTCCCAGCTGCAAGGTCACTTGAGGTATTTACAATCCGCCTCACCAGTCTTCTGCTTCTAACCCATTCCTCCCAAAATCCATATATTCCAGCCTCTGCCACTCCCCCACCTCACCTGCCCTGCCTATCCCTTCTGAAGAGCCTATAACCATCCAACATGGCACACCAAATTTTACTTATGCCAACTATGTCATATCTCTGGGACTGGACCAAGGCTTCAAGCTTCTCTTGCTTGTTCCTCAGGATGTGCATGTTGGTGTAGAAACACTTCAAGTGCAGTTCATTGTAGCCAACAACTCATGGAACAGAATGAAGAATCTCACTAGCATTCAGTCCCATTGCTTATCACTGGAAAGCTTGGTTTTGTCCCTTTTCCCCCTTCCAATCTAGTTTAAAGATTTATCAATCAGCCCCGTGAAGTCCTGGGCTTCTCATTAACTAACACTCCCAAGTCTTTCTCCTCTGCTCTCAATCCATTATCTGCCCAGCCTGTATTTGTGCTTGGAATTGCCCTGACCCATGTGCAGGACCTTGCACTTCGCCCTCTTGAATTTCATGAGGTTTGCACAGGCCCACCTCTCAACCCTTTAAAGGTCCCTCTGGATGGCATCCCATCCTTCCAGTGTGTCGACTGTACCACACGACTTGATGTCATTGAAAAACTTGCTGAGGGAGCATTCCACCTCACTGTCCATGTCACTGACAAAGATGGTAAACAGTGCTGGTCCCAATACTAACCCCTGGGGAATGCCACTTGTCACTGGTCTCCACTGGACATTGACCACAAATCTTTGAGTGCAACCATTCAACCAATTCCTTATCCACTGAGTGGTCCATCTGTCAAATCCATGTCTCTTCAGTTTAGGGACAAGGATGTTGTGTGGGACAGAATCATAGAATCATAGAATTAACTGGGTCGGAAGAGACCTCTGAGATCATAAAGTTCAACCCTTGATCCAACCCCATTGTGATTACTAGATCATGGCAGTCAGTGCCACATCCAGCCTCGTCTTAAAAACCTCCAGGGACAGTGAATCCACCACCTCTCTTGGCAGGTCATTCCAATGCCTTATCACTCTCTCTGGAAAGAATTTCTTTCTAATATCCAACCTAAACCTCCCCTGGCAGAGCTTAAGCCTGTGCCCTCTTGTCCTAGGGCTGATTGCCTGGGAGAAGAGACCTACGCCCAGCTGGCTACAACCTCCTTTCAGGTAGTTGTAGAGAGTGATGAGGTCTCCCCTGAGCCTTCTCTTCTCCAGGCTTAACAACCCCAGCTCCCTCAGCCTCTCCTCATAGGACTTGTGTTTCAGTCCCTTCACCAGCCTTGTTGCTCTTCTCTGGATCTGCTCCAGCATCTCAATATCCTTCCTGAACTGAGGGGCCCAGAACTGGATGCAGCACTCCAGGTGTGGCCTCACCAGTGCTGAGTACAAGGGAAGGATCACTTCCCTGCTCCTGCTGGCCACACTGTTCTTGATGCAGGCCAGGATGCCATTAACCATCTTGGCCACCTGGGCACACTACTGGCTCATGTTCAGCTTCCTGTCAATCCAAACTCCTAGGTCCCTTTCTGCCTGGCTGCTCTCGAGCCACTCTGTCCCCAGCCTGTAGCGCTGCAGGGGGTTGTTGTGGCCAAAGTGCAGGACCTAGCACTTGGCCTTGTTGAACCTCATCCCCTTGGAATCAGACCATCTCTCCAACTTGTCCAGGTCCCTCTGCAGAGCCCTCCTGCATTCCAGCTGATCGACACTCCCCCCCATCTTGATGTCATCTGCAAATTTGCTAATGATGTACTCAATCCCCTCATCTAAATCATCGATAAAGATGTTAAACAGGACTGGGTCCAGCACTGACCCCTGAGGGACACCACTGGTGACCGGCTGCCAGTTGGATGCAGCCCCATTCACCAGCACTCTTTGGACCTGGCCATCCAACCAGTTCTTAACCCAGCAGAGAGTGCCCCTGTCCAAGCCATGGGCTGCCAGCTTTTTCAGGAGTATATTATGGGAGACGGTGTTAAAGGCTTTGCTGAAGTCCAGATAGACTACATCTACAACCTTCCCCTCATCCACCAGGTGGGTCACCTGACCATCAAAGGAGATCAGGTTGGTCAGACAGGACCTGCCCCTCCTAAACCCATGCTGACTGGGTCTGATCCCTTGTCCATCCTGCAGGCGCTGTGTGATTGCACTCAGGATGATCTGCTCCATAACCTTGCCAGGCACTGAGGTCAGGCTGACAGGCCTGGAGTTTCCTGGGTCCTCCTTGCAGCCCTTTTTGTAGACTGGCATGACATTCACCAACTTCCAATCATCTGGGACCTCCCCAGTGAGCCAGGACTGTTGTTAAATGATGGAGAGCGGCTTGGTAAGCTCTTCTGCCAGCTCCCTCATCACCCTAGGATGGATCCCATCTGTTCCCATGGACTTGTGTGGATCCAGGTGGCTCAGTAAGTCACTAACTATTTCCTCCTGGAACACAGGTGGGCTATTCGACTTCCTGTCCCTGTCTACCAGCTCCAGAGGCCCGCTGTCCTGAGGGTCACAGTGTCAAACACTTTGTGCAAGTCCAGGTAGATGAAATCAGTTGCTCTTCCCTTATCCACCAACACTGTAACCCCATCATAGAAGGCTACCAAATTCGTCAGCTGCCATTTGCTCTTAGCTGCCATTTTGACTGTCACCAGTCACCTTCTTATTTTCCATATCCTTAGCATATTTTCCAGGAGGATCTGTTCCATGATCCTGCCGGGCACCAAGAAGAGACTGACTGGCCTCTAGTTCCCCTGGTTTTCCTTATTTCCCTTTTAAAAAGTGGGGGTTATTCTTCCTCTTTATTCAGTCAGTGAGAACTTTACTGGACTTCTCAAATATGATGGGTAGTGTCTTAGCAACTTCATCTGTGAGTTCCCTCAGGACCCATGGATGTATCTCATCAGGTCCCATGGACTTGCACACCTTCAGGTTCCTTAGATGGTCTTGATCATCTCCTTTAGTGGTTCTTCATTCTCCCAGTCCCTGCCTCTGCTTTCTGTGACTCAGGCAGTGTGACTGAAGCACTTAGTGAAGACTGAGGCAAAAACATCATTCAGTACTTCAGCCTTCTCCATATCTCGGGTTACCAGGTCTCCTGTTTCCTTACAAAGAGGGTCCACTACCTAGTCTTCCTTTTATCACCAGTGAACCTATTGAAGCTTTTCTTGTCGCCCTCGATGTCCCTGGCCAGGTTTAATTCTATCAGGGCTTTAGCTTTCCAAACCTGATCCCTGGCTGCTTGGACAGTCTCTCTGTATTCCTCCCAGGCTACCTGTCCTTGCTTCCACCCTCTGTAGGCTTCTTTTTGTGTTTGTCCTGGAGCAACTTGTTCATCCACACAGGGTTCCTGTCCATCTTCACTGGAATGCATTGCTTCTGAGCTCAGAAGAGGTGATCCTTGAATATCAGCTATCTTTCTTGGACCCCTCTTCCCTTCAGGGCCTTATCCCATGGTACTCTACCAAGCACATCCCTGAAGAAACTAAAGTCTTCCCTCCTGAAGCCTGATACTTAATTTTTTTAAAAAAGAAAAATCTTAAAATTTTTTTCCTGTTATTTTGTTGTGGGTTTTGGTTTTTTGGTTGGTTGGTTGGTTTGGTTTATTTAAATTTAGTCATCATAATCTTATGGTAGGAAACTATAAATTTGCGTTTTGACTACAGTGATTTTTGGTTTTTTTTCTGGTCAAATTTCAATCCTTAAAAATACATTTTAGAAAAATACCATTTTATGATCATATATGTGTCAAGTGTCTCACTTTCTAAGTAGCTGGGGGAAACCCATGACAGGGATAGAGATGCGATATTTATTTTTTAAAAGAAAAAAGATCAATTATAGCATTTTAAAATCTTAAAACTAGAATTTTGATATTTCATTAATAAAAGATCACTTACTTAAATTTTAATTAAAATATGGGATGCTTCAAAGCTTTTGAGTGAAGAAGTCAGCAATTTAATATTTTGTATTTAAATATTAATTTGCAACATACTAGGTGATGTTGTCTTTTTTTTTTTCTCAGGGGAACAAATACAGTTGTCTTGCAATAGGGCTAACATATCCCCTGAGCGATTCAGTCTTTTCAGTTTTATAAAACAGTGTACTGCTATTTTTAAGTCAATTCCAGGACATCTTGTAATGTGGCTACTAGGATGTTGGAACCAGTAGTAATAAATCAGAGACCTTGAATGATTGTTACCTTTTGGAAAGGCAGATTTCCTCTTACTTATGACTGATCCCCATCCAGAGTGCTTCTTCTGAGCACTCAGCACTTTGCAAAGGATAGCTGCATGGCTTGAAAGGAATAGAAGTTGGTTTTGGAATTTAGAAATATACAAATATCATTAATGTAAATGAAGAAATAATCAATTAAAACAGTGTTTATATATCAAGGTAGATATGTTCTGCATTTTGAATTTTAGGAATCCGATCATGGGACACAAGTTTGACTGAATGCAACTTGGATCGAGAACTAAAACTTTTTGTGTCTCGCCATTCAGCTCGATTCTCTCCTGAAATTCAAGGTAGGTTTTTGGAAATGTTTGCCAAAGTTTTGTTTTGTATGTTTTTGTTAAAGAGTAGAATTATTAAATAATTGGATGATCCTCTTTCATTTGTGATTCTTTACAATGAATACTTTTTTCTTTAAGATATGGCTTGAAAATTATAGTTTATTTTACCTTTCTGACAACAGAAAATGTCTTCAGACATTTAAATAATCAGCCTTTTAGGTTAACTTCATGTATCTCACTGTGATTATTTTGGCAGTAGATGTTAGCTTTAAGCCCCTATTAAAGTGAAACTCACTTTTTGACTGAAGAACAGTTTGTTCATGTAATACCAATCTAGTAGTCCTGGAGATTGAAGTTGTTCCTCACTGTTTTAGGTGAGCACATACAGAAAATAACCTGAAAGGTTAGCTCTACAGTTTGATAGAGCCAGAAATGGTGTCACGGTTGTTGTACAAGTGTGGCTCACACCCCATGTTTGTTCCTAAAGGGCTTGGACTTTTTCTTGGTATGAAAAAGCTGAGGGGTAGAGGGTCTACCTTGACTCACAGGAACTTTCTTTGGTTTTTATGAAGAAACTAAAATTTTAAAGGCTAAATCTTCTGCTGCTTTTTCTTCAAGACTGTAATTCCTTTAGAGTATTCATAAAATAAATTAAAAACCCCAACAATTTTATGAAGTTTAAAATTTCATTTTATTCTCAGTGTGTGGGAATCAAGTATTTGGTAAGTTTTCTAACATCTCATTACTTTAACACAAATGGTGAGTGAGTATGTGAGAAATTAATCTTGGTTTTCGTATAAAAATATATAGCCTTCTCCAAGGAGTATAAGTTGCTTTCATTGGTGAAATTATTGTGGCCATGTGTACGTTGGCTAGTATAACCTAGTATTGATGAATGTTATAAATTCCGACTTCAGGAACATCTCTTAAGTATGGTGATGTCATGGTTTAACCCCAACAGGCAACAAAGTACTACACAACCACTCTCTCACTTACCCCCCATCCTGGCGCAATGGGGACGAGAATCAGGAACAAAAAAGTAAAACCTGTGGGTTGAGATAAGAACAGTTTAATAATTGAAACAAAGTATAATAATAATAATAATGGTAACAAAAAGGAGAGGGAGACAGATAAAACCCAAGAAAAACAAGTGATGCACAATACAATTGCTCACCACCTGCTGACCAATACCAAACCCATCTCTGAACTGTTTCTGGTCCCCCTTCTGGGTAACTCCCACAGTTTATATACTGAATATGACATGGTATGTAATATCCCTTTGACCAGTTCAGGTCACCTGTCCCGGATATGCTCACTCCCAACTTTTTGTGCACTTCCTCACTGGCAGAGCATGAGACACTGAAACATCCTTGACTTAAGGTAAACACTACTTAGCAAAACTCAAAACATCAGTGTGTTATCAACATTATTCTCCTACTGAATTCAAAACACAGCATTGTAGCAGCTACTAAGAAAAAAAAAGAACTCGATTCCAGATGAAACCAGGACAGGTGAAAAGGGCTATGAAATGTTGTATCATACTACTGCATCACATTCCTAAGATCAGTTGCTATACACTGCTGACAAAGAGATCTTGATGTCTTGCTAGTATGACATCATTCACCTGATGGTTTTGAATAATGTACCAAATGTCTTGTATTACTAGTTCTTCCTCTTGCAGCACAGATTATAGTAGATTTTTCCATATCTATAGACAGCAAAACATTCTTTTTCAGCACTGTTCAATCTTTAAACAATAAGCTGCCAAAATCTGTGTTGAAAGAGCTTTAAGGGAGCCTGAAACTGGGAAAGAGGGAACATCCAGGAATAAATTTAGCCCTCTTGACCAATTTACTTTCTCAAATTTTGTGGAGAAGCCCATGACACCTTCAGAATTCTGCTGCATAGATCAGAGGACAATATTTTAGTCTCTATAATCTCTCTGTGGTTCCCTGATGTTGAATCTTTATGAGATTCCTTTATGTCTTCTCTACTGTTTGATAGGAAGGGGGGTTTTTTCTTGTCATTTGTTAACAAAATTTCAGAATGTTATATTTCTGTTCAACAAATGTTGAATTTTGAGTGTTTAATCAGGGAAACTGGCAACATTTATAATAAAGAAGATTGTAAATACATATTCTCTTTTGGTCAGAAACTCAATTCTCTGGAATTTGGATAACTAGGTGACCTCTTGTCCAAGGAAAGTATTCATCCATGATGATGGGATAGTCTGTGGGATTTAAACAGGCTTTTTTTCAATCTTTTGAGACTGAACTCTGTGCAACTCAAACATAGGGACAGTTTACTCTTGAGAGTCATTTATAGTGTCTGCACAACTCTTAGTATAGTCAGGTCTGACTACTGGCTGAAGCCTTTTTGATTATAATGTTTAATATGGTAATTGCAGTGCCATTTCAGTACATGCTTGTATGCTTCTCAAAGCAGCTTGAGGATACATGCAACTCCTTAATAATACCAAATCTCACAGAGATATTGTTGTCAGGTGCTGGTGAAAAATGAGTAACAGAGTTTATTAACTGTTTGCCAAGACAACAGGCAACATGGCTTAAAATAGGTACTCCAGTGCTTGCCTCTGTTTTCTCTGTCATATACTGATGATAACTTCCATCTTATGTTAACTTCACAAGGACAAAAAATTCAAACAATGGGTTATAACATATACATGCTGGAAAAGGAATCATGTATCTGGTAGTGAGAGTAAGTGGAGAGTCTTGGAAAGAGCTTTGTTTAAATTGCAATTGTTGCTACCAATCTTAATTTAAAAAAAGTTTCAGCTGCATAAAGATGAATATCCTGCTTCACAAAAGATGGAGTAAAAAGATTCTATGTGTGAATGAAGCCATTCAGGGTCCTTCTGCAAGACTTTCACGCCTGCCTCTTTGTACATCAACTTCCACTTGGGACACATGGCTGTTTCATTGGTTTGAATTCAAGTCCTTGTATAGATTAAAATCTGTTTTATTTCAATAACTGTGCAGTAGCTAGTCACCCCAAATCTTCTAAGAAATACTGCTCAAGCAATACACTGTGACTATGTATTTTGTCCTGTTTTAATGAAGAACGTGTATCTGTGGCAGGCACGTTTCCTATCTCAGCAGTACCACGTCTCCTGTTGCCCATAAGTCAGCAGTTGGTGACTGCAATGGCTTAAGTGAGTCCTTCTTTACCTCCTTCCCAAGACTTTATTTTCACCAGCCTTCATGTGACCAGGGAGGACCTTAGCAAAATGTAAGACATGTTTGGTATCCCCTTGGCAGCTGCTTACCTCAACAGCGCCAGTGGACTTGCCTCCTTCAGGCTTCCTAGAGAAGGTCGTTGTTTGAAACTGTCATTACCCCAAAAAACCTTAACGACTTTGATTCTGAAAATTACCATTTCAAAAGTAACAATTAAAGATTGTTAGTGTCTGGGAATTTTGATCATCAATACCTATAACTCCATAGTTTCCCAAAATACTGTATAGTCCTATTGCTTTTATCAAAGCAGATCTACATTCATGCCTACTAGTTTGCAATGGTACCTCATGGAGTTGCTGATAAAATCCTAAAGGTCATGATTTTCTATCTTAATAAAAATTTGTCAAGAGGACATAGGTACTTGAGCAAAACTGATAACTTGCAATGAAAGACACACAAAAAAAAGAGCTAAGAAGTCAAGGTCAAATTTCTCAACCGATATCTGAGCACCATCACTAAGCACCTAGAAATTAATTCAGCTTAAAAACTCAAGTAACCTGGTATGTACATGTAGAGTCAACCTATAAATATGATTCTACAGGTATTAGAGACTGTGATAGCTGGAATAGCTATTAAATGGAATCATTTATCAGCAGTCCTGACAAAACAGAGAGGTCCCAGTTGACGAGGTGATAAAATGTGATGCCCATCTAAAAGAAGAGCCAGAAAGAGGATCCTGAAAACTACAGGCCTGTGAGCCTGACTTCAGTGCCAGGGAAGGTTATGGACAGATCATCTTGAGTGTCATCTCGTGGCACATATACGACAACCAGGGATCAGGTCCAGTAGGCATGCCTTTATGAAAGTCAAGTCCTACTTGATTAACCTGATGTTCAATGACAAGGTAAACTGCTTAGTGGATAAGGAAAAGGTTGTGGATGTTGTCTACCTGGACTTTAGTAAAACTTTTGTCATGGTTTGATCTGGCCACTGCCTCTCCGGGCAGTCTTTGCCTGCATTCTCCACCAAAAATGTCATGGGTTTGCTCTGGGCTAATTTTTTTCTCACCCCCCACACAATTGCTATAAGTTGAGAGAAGGTTTATGCAGACAGAAGAGACCTGATTGGGGAGAATAATATTAGGATTTATTTACTAGCAAGATAAAAACTAAAGAACTATATCTACAACAATGCTAATTAGGTAAAAATGCTATGTAGTCACAGAAATACCCCTCCCCTCTTTGTATCAGTTCAGGAGGAGAAGCAGTCTCTTTCTTTCTTTCTGGAGCTCCAGGTCTTTCAAATAATTTTGCATCACTTTAAAGTTCTTCTTCTGTTATCTCTAGGACGACAACTCCAATTCGTTTCAGCTGGAACTGTTTCTCTTTCTCTCTCTCTTCTATGTCAGCCTCAGGGCTGGGCCTACCCCCCTCCTGGGCTAAGACTGGAGGCTGGGGGATTACCCAGGCCCTGAAGGGTCTTCCATGGACTGCAAGGGGACACTTGTCTACCATGGATCTTCACCACAGAGTCACAGGGGATAATGGCTTTTGAGTCCACCCCTGTTTCCTGTGGGGTCCCTTCCCATGGGAGAACAGTCTTTGATAGACTTCTCTGACATAGGTCCATCTCTCAGACAACAGGTCTTCCATTCTCTTCTGTCCCTCAGGGTCACAAATTCAGCTGCACTAGCATGGATCCCTCACTCGGATCCCAACATCTTACCCAAGCCATTCTGCTCCAGTGTAAGTCTCTCTCCATGAGCTTCCTCGTGCATTCACAAGCTCCTCTAGGAGCTGCATGGGGGTGTCCTCA